GCTCCCAGTGATAGAATGACTGGAGTGTGCAAAGCTGCAGAGGATCGCTGGCTCTGAATGATTCACCTTCCTTTTCCAAACCAACCCAACCCTTGTTGTGCTAAGGACAGCATGAGGCCAATATAAAGATCAATTCAGGCAATCCAGCTGTTTTTTTTTATACAGTTTAAAAACATTTTTATAAACAAATAACCACAATATAAATTGTACTTTTAATATTTCCCTGGAGATCTGCTTTAAATGTTAAAAATATGCCTAATTTTTATTGACTGTCTGATCAGGAGCTGAAAGCAGTATACAGGCAGATAGGGCCCAATAGGAAAACCAAAATAGGGTCTCCTGTCTCTGTAATCTCCATCATATAGGTAATTTCTCAAGCGATACAGAATAAAAATAATGTTTTCATAGAAATTGTCCAGAGATTCCCAAACTTTGCATACATCCATTTATCCAAATGTATTTGTCAAATTATATAGCTACCTGTATACATCACTGTGTGGCCACACAGCCCCCTGTGCTCTGGTCCCCATAGCAGTTGCATGCTCTGCCCTGGTTATAGTTACACCCTTGCAAAAGTCATCAGGGAACTCCATTTTTTTGCCAATAGATTGTGTTTATTCTATTCCAATAAAGTAGGGCTGCGGAAATTAACGATTAATTTCTCGATTAATCATTAATCTTTTTGATCGCTTAACATTTTTTTGATCGCTAATGAAAATACTCACCTCTCCGCCGGTTTCCGGGAGTCCGCTTGCAGATCCGGTGACGTCATGGACATCGACGTCACTGGACTCCTTCCCCCTTTCCCAAGTGGCTCCTTCGGCTAACGAAGGGAAGGGGGGAGGAGTCCGGTGACGTCGATGTCTGTGACGTCACCGGATCTCCGACGGGACTCCCGGAAGCTGGCGGAGAGGTGAGTGACACTGCAGACTTTCTTTTTTACCCATTTCTGCTAACCCAAGACCATAAAAAAAAGGAGCAGCATGGTTCCAAATGTAACCTTGAAAGCGGCCAAAATGTATAAATATAATTCTATTCTGCTGATGGCTACAAGACAACGTCTCAAACCATGGAAGCCAGCACCCAGCCGCTAAAAACGTCTGTCAGCTTCTTCATCAAGTTGCACAGCCCTACTTTTCGGCAATATGAATGCTCTTTATTGTTGACCATCTGGACAGACGTAGCGGCCACAGCTGACGTTCAGGTTGTCTGGGACGGAGAAGATAGGATCACATATTTCTCTCGAGTTTCTTCACTAACCCTCTTCCCCCATGGCTTTTGGCCGAGATTCCTCTTTCAACACTGTAATTGAATTTATTCAGAAATAATAATGGCTCGACATTAGGAACTGCACTAAAAGAGTTTACATGTACTTGCCAGGTACATGTTAAATACTCATAGCCGTATTTAAAGTTGTTTTAGCAAAGTTTTAAGTGGTTCCAAAAAAAAAAAAAAAACCACTGGCAACTTCCCTTTTTTTTTTAGACTAGCATCCTGTTATGTGGACCTTTCATGTCCGCATAAAGCCACATTGGCGTGTTTTAGTAAAGGTTCTATCTGCCAAAAACTGGTAATTCAGTTTTAAATAGTTGCCGACACATTTAGTTACATAGTCAGTAAGGCCTCATTCACACCTGATGCACATGCACACCTGATCACACCTATACACATAAAGCACAGAAATGAATAAAATGAACTAGGATCACACTAATCCAGCACGTTATTATTCTGAGTTGCCCCACTCAAGCGGCGGCCATATTGAGTGGGGCACGTGAGATTAATTACGTGCTGGATTAGTGTGATCCTAGTTCATTTTATTACTTAATTGCTGTGTTGTATGTGTATAGGCCAATGTAGTTGGATCTGTATGTGCGTTATAATTAATCGAACTTAATCGATTAAAAAAATTTTCGATTAATCGAACACGAAAATTTTAATCAGTAACAGCCCTACAATAAAGATTCCTAAATGTACACAACCACAAATGTCCTTTTCTTCTGAAAATAATAAGCATATAACATTTTTCTGAATGAAGTAACCTTGCTTCCATCGTGGAGGTAAAACATATACCAATCAGCCATAACATTTTGACCACTGACAGGTGAAGTGAATAACATTGATTATCTTGTTACAATTCACCTGGAAGTTGGTGGGATATAAAAGCAGCAAGTGAACATTTTGTCCCTGAAGTTGATGTGCTGGAAGCAGAAATAAAAGGATTGAAACAACTTTGACAAGGGCCAAATTGTGATGGCTAGACGAGAGGGTCAGAGCAACTCCAAAACAGCAGCTTTTGTGGGATGTTTCCGGTCTGCAGTGGTCAGAAAGTAATTCAAGCAAAGAAAAAAAAACAGTGAACCGGCGACAGGGTCATGGGCGGCCAAGGGTCATTGATGCATGTGGGGAGCGAAGGCTGGCTCCTGTATTCGGATCCCATAGAACAGCTACTGTAGCTCAAATTGCTGAAAAACTTAATGCTGGTTCTAACAGAAAGATGTCTGAGCACACAGTCCATTTCAGTTTGTTGCACATAGTGATGTGTAGCCACAGACTGGTTAGAGTGCCCAAGGTGACCCATGCCACCAAAAATGCTACAGTGGTCACATGAGCATCAGAACTGGACCACAGACCACTGGAAGAAGGTGGCCTGGTCTGATTAATCATGTTCATTTTGCATCATGTGGATGGCAAGGTGCGTGTACGTCACTTACCTGGGGAAGAGATGGCACCAGGATGCACTATGGGAAGAAAGCAAGCAGGCAGAGGCAGTGGAATGCTTTGGCCAATGTTCTGCTGGGAAACCTTGGGTTCTGCCATTCCTGTGGATGTTACTTTGACACGTACCACCTACCTAAACATTGTTGCTGGCCGAGTACACCCCTTAATGGAAACAGTATACCCTGATGGCAGTGGCTCTTTCAGCAGGATAATGCGTCCTGCCACACTGCAAAAATGGTTCAAGAATGGTTTGAGGAACATAAGTTTGTGGTGTTGACTTGGCCTCAAATTCCCCAGATCTCAATCCAATCAACCATCTGTGGGATATGCTCGAAAAACAAGTCTGATTCATAGAGGCCACACCTCGCAACTTACAGGACTTAAAGGATTGGCTACTGATGGCTTGGTGCCAGATACCCCAGCATAGCTTCAGATGTCTAGTGGAGTCATGACTCGATGGGTCAGGGCTTATGCGGGTGGTCTTAATGTTATGGCTAATTGGTGTATGTCCAGAGAAAACAAAACAGAACCATTGATTAAGCAGATCAAAACGGATAGCGGTAAGGTTGAATTTATTTAAGCACAACATGGTTTACATAGCTGTACCTACTACAAGGGAATACATATACAATGGACAGTTTTATGCAATCCCAACAGTACATTACAAGAGCACATAGTAATCATGCCCTTAGTCATCAATTTCCTGCTGTATGTCATATCTGCACCTACTTCTCTGTCTGAGAATATTTTCCTATACATACATTGATGTCAAGCACAACTTAAATCACTAAAATCTACCACAGACATGAGATGATTGTCACCCAATCCAACTGATTTATTTCAGATTAGACATGTCTATGGGCATCAGGAAACTGCAGCAGATGCCTGAACATTCTTAAGGAAACAGCGGTCTGTAATAAATATTTTTGGCCAACCCCTATAGCTTCCTGTAGGATTTGGCGAGCATTAGGGTTGCCTTTAGTGCCATAACCATGAATGCTCCAGCAAACAGAGAGTGCATGTTTGAAATAGCTTATAAAACATAAAGGCTGCTACTGCTGACCTTCAAGTACAAATTAGCTGTCTGACTATTTATGGAATTAATACCTGTTACTTTCGCACTCCTATGCATTCTTGTGCTGGGATAGTAAAATATTGTAGGCGAAGGATCAGCATGACAACCAGGCAAGGGTTGGTCTTGCCACACCAATAAACACTGCAAGCTAACCATTGGATTTACTGCAGCCAAATATCTGATGTGGATTATTATTACACTGTCAAACATCAGTGTATCCTAGAGACAAATGTACACAACCAGAAAACAGCTTTTCTTATGGCTTACCTATTACTGAATTGTGCGTTTTGTGTCTAGTTCTCTATTATGCAAGGCCTTGACAGCCCAGGTCAGGTTTAGACAGATCTGGCCATACATGCCCAGTCTGATGGATCTAGACACTCAACACGAACAAACTACTGTGTCTGCAATTGTTATGAGGACAGCTAAACAGAGCACCCTTGGTTGTACCGTCCCATGGATCCCTAGCTTTAATAACATGTTAAGAGAAAAAAAACCTACCAAGTATTACTCAAAATGGTTATACTGTCATCTTTCAATATTTACATCAGATACATATGATGACATAAAAATAGGGTTAGTATACCTCTAGCAACTTGCTATATTATAACCTACAGCATTGATAATACACTCAGTTTTACCAATACAACGTAAAAAAACTAATGAAAGCAGAATGGGCCTCAAAAAAAAAAGCGCCCAAAAATAAATTGCCGTTAGCAAGCAATCAGAATCATCTTTTTTTTTTTTTTAGTTTTCCCTAATCTGCACTACACAAACGAGAGCTGAAATCTGATTGGTGGCTAATGGCAGAACAGCTACTACCTTTTCAGGTACCATTCCTATAGGAGGCCCAATATTACTAGCTTTAAAAAGGGATTATAAACACATTTCAGTACAAAGGATAACTAGTTCTGAAGCTTTCACAATATACGTATGTAAGGCATTCAATATATAAACTGCATTCACCTAAAGACGTTACAATAATGTTTCCAGGCAGCTACCAAAATAATCTGCCAGCAATGTACATCATAAAAATAGAAAGCGGACTTCTTGCTTTACAAAAACGCACAAGACTTTCTATAAATACATAACAGTTGATAGGTCCCTAGTTAAAACACTGCAAGTCTCCATAGAGGTTTTCCTGCAGTTTGGACAAGCAGTCAAACTGGCAGGTAGAATCGGGCTCGGCATAGCAGTAATCTTTTCTTTTTCTTTTTAATTAGAAGAGCTTGGTTTAAATAAGCAATGAGGCTAGATGGGCTACTTTATTAGCACAATAAAACAGTCTGCCTGCGCCACTTGCCTCACTGCATCTTGCACACATATATTAGGCCTCTTAACAAGCCGCCCGCCTCATCTTTCTGCATTCCAGACTCTTCTAACACAGAAGGTGCCAACAGAACCGCATATGGCAATGGCAGAGATGAAAGTCACCTGCTGTCACTGAGGCAGTCTCTCCCACCACATAGTGGTGGCTTGTGAACCAGCAGAGGTGAAGCTGTACAATTTTCAGGAAATGCCATTTTATGCCAATTTAAAAGTGTGAATAGGGAATGTTATTTTACATTTCTGGGACATGTTTGATTCCAGTTGCACTACTGGATGAGTGAAAACTACGCACAATCACTACGGTGCCCATTTATCAATTCTAGTCACTGTATGATAAATAGACACCTATGTGTTACAACATTTTTAGAAAAAAGGTGTAAAACACAAAAAAAAAAAACACATGCAGATAGCTGCAGGAAAAGAAAAACAAAATCAATTGTCCAATTACCTAAGGTCATTGCTGCCGCCCCCAACAAATAAGCGGATGCTTAAAGTGCCACTGCTGGGTAGGAATGTATTGTGTGTATTGGCTAATTATTTGTCAAGTCCCACAAGAGCGGAACATTGTCCGTGCCTAGATTCACTTCTAGGAGATAGTCACCCGCACACCAAGGTCCAATGCATCAAAACGTCCTTTTGACAGCAGATACTCATGGCATCACAAGTATGAGCAACTTTTCGGAACCTATCGAGGTCCCTTCATTAGGCAAATAACAGTGACTATGTATTTTGCCTGATGAAGGGACCTCGATAGGTTCTGACACGTTGCTTGTACTTGGGATGCCATGTGTATCTGCTGTCAATAAAAGGACATTTTGATGCATTGGACCTGGGTGTGCGGGTGACTATCTCCTCTGCGTTTGGATTTGTGCAGCGCCAACAACATAATTTCAGCACCCTTCTGCATGCCACAGTGGGATTCCGGTTTGGTGTGCAATAGGATATCTGTTTATTGTGGATTTCTAGACACCGGCACAAAAACTTTGAATTATTTTGTCTTCCAAATGGCTCACACAAAACAGATGACATGCATAGATTATTAAATTAAAAAGCGACACTAAACTCAGGAGTTGAGTCTTAAAAAAGCAGCTATTAACAAAAATCTGATTTGTGTATCACTCAGCTGTAGATCCTCAAATCATCTCTGAATTGGTGCTGACACTGTCCTTCCTTCTGGAGGGTGGCTACGTTTGGTGCACATGGTCTGTGTGTTGTAAAGTAGTCACCACTCCAAGCTCACTCCCATGATGGACTACAATCTCAGGTTTAGTTTAGAGTGTATTGAGATTGTAGTCCATCATAGGAAAGAGCTTGGAGCGGTGGCTACTTTACAACACACACAGGGACCATGAGGAACAAAAGTAGCCACCCTCCAGAAGGAAGGACAGTGCCAGCACCAATTCAGAGATGATTTGGAGGATCTATAGCTGAGTGATACACCAATAGGGTTCAGTATTGATAATAGTTAAGGTACCTGAATATATTTTTAGGATTTAACTCCTAAAGTTTAGTGTTATTTAACTAAAGGCTGTTTACCTAGCACAAGAAATGTTCACTTTGCAAAGTGAATGTTGGAATATAAGGTGAACCTGTGCACACTCTTAATGCCCAATCAAATGCAAGTAAAATTACAACAGAACTACAACTTCAAAATAAATACTTGGCATAAAGTTGATTACTTTTCATTGTGCCAGCACGTTTTTATGGATTGAATCTTCATAAACAAAAACAAAAAAAAATCAAACTTTTGCATTCATTCAATTTCCAAATGTGCAACAGTCAGTATCCCACAAACTGTCAGTGTCTACCCCACCTGTCTTTTCAAAACCCCCATGTAGTTCTCTTGACTACATTGTGACATGTTTACGTTATCAGAGGGTGTTGAGTGTCAGAGTAGGCTTTCTTGCTACCTGCCCAGTAATACCCACATTGACTGTAGCTCATATTATTATGGGTGTGGTAAGGGGCACAACATATACATATTATTGACTGCCTCTTGCTATGCCCAAGCAAATACTTGTTACATGCCCCTTGCTGAAAGAGGAGCAAGGCATTATGGGACATGTATAGTCCCTTGTTCATTGCGTTATGGGACACATATAGTCCCTTGTTCAATGCATTATGGAACATGTATAGTCCCTTGTTCAATGCATTCCGTTATAGAATCAGAAAGTTGTTTGCAGCTGCTCCCCACCCATTGCCAACTAAAGGTGCCCATACACTATACAAGGGTTGTAAAGTATTTTTTTTTAAACGTACGATCTGCCCATCTTGGACAGGCAGATCGTACTTGCGATCATCGGCAGTCATCTCTCGATCATGTTAAAAACCAGCCGAAAGTCGTACGATTCTCGGCTGGTTTTCCAACATGCTCGAAATACAAGTCATTAGAAACGGTCGCACGCCTTCCATACACTGCATGATTCTCGTACGATCGCGGGATTTCCCGCGATTCTCGTGCGAGTGCAGTGTATGGGCACCTTTAGACAGAGGAGAAGAAAGACTGGAGCACAATTTTCCTTTTACTTCTTTTTAAGGTTTGTCCACCACTGTATTAAACAAGGACACTTGTTTAATACAGTGGTGGACAAACTAATATGGAATTCAGGAGTGAACAGGATTTTTTTTTTAGGAGCTAGCGCCATTGAAAATCTCAAACGTTGGCTAACTGGCTCCTGGGATTTGTGCAGCCCTGGCTTAATGTTATACATATGGATCATTGATAAGGGGTATTGGGCAGGGGAGTGGCATTGAAGTTTTACTATCTTGCTTACTGAAGTTCCGCCTAACAATACCAAAAAATCCAGAGGGATGTTTGTCAACCCATCTTTGGGTATTCAATGTGCACAAAGCATCACCCTATTCACAAACATTCATTCTTTGCAAAGTGAACATACACTTTCCAATATAAGCAGTTTGCTATTAAACAGCCTCTATCCCTTTAGTAAATCAATCCCAATTTTTCACTATGCACATATACGACTACATTTCTTTTGTCTGGAGCTCTCAGATGATTGAACAGCCTTTCATGATAAATGCAAAGGTTTCATTTTCTCTATAGAGTTCGAGTTCCACTTTAATATCAATCGACCAAGGTAATTTCAATTGGTTTTTAGCCATGCTACAAAGCCAGTGTCACTGCAAACTGTTTCATTAACCCAGTTTTCATTTTCATACACCTCAAATTGAAACCCATTGTTCTACCAACACCTGGTTGGGGATTAGACCTTCCAATGAAAAAAACTAAATCTCCTCTGGCTAACATCATGTCTTCATATACATTCTTGTTACCGTGGGATTCACAGAAGGCCTGTCAGCAACCCTTGAAATTTCAGGATTAAACAAAAAAAACAAAAATGTATTCACAACATCAAAGCTGCTTTCTTAAAAACAAAAAAATGAGACTAAAACAGACAATGATATTTAAGAATATGTTTGACCTAAACGTCAATACTAACCCTACTTCATTTTTAAGGGTTAAACATTAAAAAAACACTTCAAAATGTGCAGTCTGTAAACATGGGTGTCCTTTTTCTAAATATACAGCGAACACACTCTCTAGCAGAGTGTACACAGTTTGCATTGCAGATCTGTACCGTAAGGGCTGGAGGCCTGTAGTAGTCCGCTATGCCCAACCAACAGTGTGGAACAGCTCATAAGTCAGTGGCCGGCACAGACTAGAAACAAGGCAGTGACATCAACAAGTTGACTGGACAGAATATAGACAGATGACAGTATATGTCTGCCTCTGCAAAAAAAGTTGCATGAAAAATAAGCTATATAATATATAAAAGCAAAAAAAGAGGTCAAGAGCTATATTTCTAGCATAAACAGATACACAAAGCGGTCACAAACTGGATGCACAGTTGGTCACGGGGAGCATAAAGGAATGGTTTGAAGTCCTTAAATGGCACACTCCTTGGATATGTCAAGCGGTGATGATATGCGACTTCATTTTATCTTTAGACGATATCTCACCCTAGTAGAAGGATATTCATCCATATAAAGTGTAGTTGCAGGCTGGCTCTTATTTTGTACGTTGAACCAAAAAAAAAAAAAAGCATTAGAATGTAGATTTTCTTTGAGTCCATAACATGACTGATATCACGGTGTGGGGAAACTGCTACATTGCTACTGTGCAAAGACATACAGAGAAACAAAGTATGTGATAATGTTCATGGAGACAATACTACACGGTCTTTAGCTAGAAGTATCATCAGTTACAAACTATTCTACATTACATTTTCTTGAAGAACTAGGATTAACAGCGATTGACCAGGGAAAATGAAGGAGACTTTTTTTTTTCTACATTCATTACACCGATCTTGGATATTCACCTGTAGGGAATAGCAAAATTGTGAGATAAAGTAGATGATGGGCATCTACATAATCAAAATATGTCCATAAAAACCACAGGTGTGATTCTTGGGATTTGTTTTACACGACATGTGAAGGTCAGACAGGAATATTTAATTGTATGAATGATCCATCTGTCCTTCAATGTGTTCCAGCATCACTTGGCAATCCTGCACTACTGACATTTTCCAAAGGCTGTCTTCAGCTGAAAGTGCAGTGGCAGCTTAGCAATTGTTTAGAAAATGTTCTTTGTTGCGTTTAAAATGATTATCATTTTTTTGTTTAAAAACGTTTACTAAATTCTACATTGAATATAAGTGTCCTACATTTAGAATTCCTTAACACAGTCCGTTCCATTTCACTGCATCATTCACACAAGTGTTGACATTTGAAAAAGGCATAATGTGGTACAAACAATGAAGCAAACAAAGTTATTGATGTAGTGTAATCGGTAACCATGTAGTCTAATCGGAACAGGTAGGTCCTTTTGTCAGTCAGACAAACAGTGACAAAACTCCCAGGTCCTGGAGCTGTGTCCTTACCAAGATGTCCCAACCTTTGTTGGCTTGAGGATTCCTGGGAGATGGGTGCATTATACCCGTCACTGTAACATCTGATCCTTCCCCAGCAAGAGCCTTTCTAGCACGCTGCTCAGAAAACTTGCCCACTCCAACCACCAACTTAACCCCGAGTGCCTTGACAACTTGGCATAAGGCTTCATCACAGATATCCAGCAGTACATCTCTCTGAGCTTTAGGAAGATCCATTGGGGTCAGGTTTTTCCCTGCCTGGTTCATGAATATGAGAGGGCAGTGGTTGTGGACATAGCAATGCTGGAAAAAGTGTTCAGGCTGCCCACAAAGGGACTTGAAAAGACCCCAAAATCGTGCTCCGCTGACTTCGCTATGGGGACATTCAAACCCACGAATGGGCCTTTTTGGGTGCTCAATTTCAGGTTTATAAACATGGCCCTCAATTTGAAGCCAGTCACGCACATGCTTAACTTCCCCAAAAGGAACCTGAGAAGGGAAAAGAAGAAAGTTAATTGGCTGTCTACTAGACTTACCCCCTAGTCATTCATGCATAATAATAGATTTAATTTGCAGTGTTTGTAAATAATATATTGTGATGTAGGACATATTTGTAAACAACTTAAAATATTTACCAAAATGACAATGAGCAAGTCCCTTATGAACCAAAGCTCAAGGTGTAAAGTTCATCAGCCCCACATGATCGCACAATGATCTTTCTATTCTACATGCTCCAAACTAAAAGCTAAAATCTTAAATGGCTGCTATGATTATTTCTGCACATTAAACATGGTTAGTGCACTGACCAGTGACTTAAATTGACTCTTTCCTTTTCCCAAGCAGTGTAATGTAGATGCTTTGCATAGCTCCCCCATACCCAGAGGCACTTACTTGGCTATCTTCACTGCTTCATTTAGCTGCTGGGAGTGAAGTATAATACCCAGAATTTTCCGGCATGGGTGAACATGTGACTCCCAACCCCCTCCCCCAATGTGACAAGGCTGGTGCCAGCGCGGTCACACAGTGCCGTGCAAGAAATTCATAGGCCTCGTAAAGCTCTGGCAAGTCAGTTTAAAGCTTACAAAGGTCGGTCTTTCCTGGTTCCATGGAGGGGAAGCCTGAAAGGGAGAGTATAGGCTGCTGAGAAGGTGGAGGGAGTTAAATTATACTTTTACTTTGCCCTGCATGGGCAAAGAAATGGAACATTTTAAAGGTTCCCTACCAAAGAAATATGGGGGCTGCTGTTACTGAAAACATTTTAAAAATTCTTGTTGCCTGGTTGTTATGCTGACTCTCTAGCTTCTATGATTTCTGAATTACTAACCCGAAACAAGCAGATGTTTTCCTTCCCTTGCTCCATACTTGTTCCAGGTCCCTAACTCAAAGCAAAGTAGTCAGAGAAAGCCAGGCAACAAGCATTTTCAAAAAGGAGGTCAGCATTAGATGGCTATGTACTGACAGCTGTCTTAATAAGCAAACATATATGCATTGATCCTGCTAGTGAAAAATCAATTTTGTTTAAGAGATCATTCTGGCATTTGTGCATGATGTACCAAAAACAAAACAATCAATAAAAGGGAAGTGACTTGTCTTCTTATTTTTTATGCTTCCAGGCAGGGATGCACTGAAATTTCATCTGCTGAAACATATCAGCCGAAAATGGCACTTTTGGAAAAATTTGTCGAAATAGTGCATCCCTGCTTTCTCTCCCCCCCGGAGAGAAACTGTCACAGAGGACGAGCGGTGCAGGGGAGGAGAGCGCTGTGAGTGGCCGACATCGCTCCTCTCGCACCGCTCAGCCTCCTGTGACAGATTAGGAGAGCGGCGTGGGGGCGTAAGCAGCTCGGAGTGCGGTCACAGGAGGCTGAGCTCTCGCCCCGCACGGCCCCGGTCAGCCTCCTGTGACGGATCGGGAGAGTGGCGGTGTGGAGGTGGAGACAGCTGTCACAGGAGGCTGGGCTGGCATGCGGTGGAGGAGTCAGCTGTCAGAGGAGATCGAGCTCTCCTCCCACACTGCTCGCTCAGCTTCTTGTGACAGCTCTCCAGGGTGGAGAGCGGTACAAGCACTCAGCGATCTCCGAGTGTTTGTAAATAATTGAGGACATAGTATGTTTACTGTGTCCCCAATTATGAATGAATAGGAAGTGATCTACATCACTTCCTGTTCATTCATGATTGTGGACATGGTAAACATACTATTGCCACAAGTTATGAATGAACAGGAACACTTAGTATAGAGAATTCCTGTTCATTGATAACTGGGGCTGCAGAGAAAGAGATTGAGGACTCTGTGTTTTCAATCTCTTTTTCTATTTTAAAAAGGGAAATATCAGAGGTCTGTTTAGATCCCCAATATTTCCCTGAGGCTCCTAAAAGTAAAAAAATAAAT